ACTAAGTTATACTCGTATTAATCTTAGTTATGATTGGTATGATTTCTTTATAAAAGTAATATAGATCAAGACACTTTTCAATGAAATCTGGTTTTAGTCTAACAGTTTAACCTGCAATTCGAAGCATTAGCTATCACGACTTTCAATATTAGAAACATACATGAAATAAAACATTTGAACTGAAATACATTTAAGTACAAGATTTTCCTTGTACTTTTGCTTGTATTCCCCCTGAAAACGTTTCAAAACCATTTGAAAACATTTGAAAATGGTAGGGGTATGAACTCACCGGACTAGGAAATGCGACGGTTTCGGACACTAAACGTTGGTCCGGGGTCTGATTACTCACGATGTCCCTATGTAAAATGAAATAATGTCCAAATATGTCTAATTAGATTTACAATCACTAATTAGATGGAACATTACACTCCAATGGGGTAAAACACCTCAAAACGAGTGTTTGGAGTGACCCGGGTGACATCTATGGACGTGTAATGGCACTAGGGACTTGGAATTTGAGTTTACTCCACAAGAGTAAACATTTAAGGGAGTTTACAACCACAAAACACATACATACATGAGTTCACGGCCGTGAACTCATGTTGGTGTGATTTTGAGTGTCTAATGGCTTGATTGGACTTGGGAATTGTTGGAATGGACTTCTAAAATGCCTTGGAATGATTTAATGGGACTTGGAGTTTACGGCCGTAAACTCTGCTATGGTCAAAAATAATTATTTTGAGGTACAAGGAACAATCACATGTGATTCTAGTAAGTTTTCCAAGCCTTGGGGTGATTTTAGGGCATCATTTGACACATATTTAGGAGTTTACGGCCCAAGAGTATGAGCCATGGCCGTAAACTCTTGTATAATGTATTTTTTTATGTTTAATGCCCCCAAACTATTTTTAGATGGTTCTAGGATTTACCACAAGGCTATTGGTTAAGTTTCAAGGCATTCTAACATGTTAAAAGGTGTTTACTCCCCATGTTTGAGGGATTTACGGCCCAAGCATATGTCTTGGCCATAAACTCCCATTTACTCCTCAAAATTTATGTTTATGATGTTCTAAGGCCAATACCAATATTCTAGAAGTCATATCTAAGTCTTGTTTGTGTCTTGGAAGGGTTTAAGGGCTTAAAAACCCTCTAAATTATTGTTTACGGCCTAGGCACCTTCCAGGGCCGTAAACTCATATACAAGGTCCTATTTCATGCTTTAATCTCGAATTTGAAGGTCAAATATGATACACAATGAGTTAAGGAAGGTACCTTGGTGATTAGAAACCTTAAACTTGTGATTTGGACCCTTAAACTTGGATTTAGGAGAGAGGTTAGAGAGAGAGTAGAGAAAGGAAGAAAAGATTCAAATGAATGTTTAAACACGTTTAAATGGTCCCAAAACTTGGACACGGTGGAATTCTACCCGATACCGGCATTAAACGGGTCTTTTGGTCGCACCCGATTAAGTTTCCGTAATTCGACAGGATAGAATTTAGAAATTTCAAGTTAATGATTTTGGGCCATTTTCATGAGTTTTAAATGGATTTGAACACTTACAAGATTAAAATAAACTTATAGTTTATATATCTTAGCTCAAAAACGAAAAGGGACGAATCGATAAAGGCGGATTTTTACGCGCGGAACGGATTTCGGCGATGGACAACTTCGGGTTGTTACAATTTCAGTTGTTCCCATCAACATGGTAAAAGGAGAAAAAAAGAAACATAATTACCTTAGAATCCAGGTACATATGATTGATTTCTTCAGGGGTTACTCTGATTTTCTTCATTCGTTGTTTGTCATTAAATTATACTGGAGGGAAATTCGAGTTTAATGTAAATCGTTTTTTTTTTGAATTACTTCTCCTAAATCTTAATGTAACTGGTAATTGTAAAGTTTACGATTTTGGTTTAAACCAATTCAAGTAATTCTTGGATTCAAATTGTTTGTTTAAATGCTTGAAAGATAATTGCAATTCACCTCTCTTTATTTTTATTTCTGATTGGAGAATGAATTGACTCTGTGAAACTTAAGACCTTGCTATGATAAGAGTTGGATACATGATAAGAGTTGGATACACAGAGCTAGTGAGTGTTGGTCTGGTGGAAGAGAAGAAACCTAAAGCTAAAGAATCAAAGCCCAAGGAGGCCACATTTCATTTTAATCCTTACCAGTATTGCTGTAATAGCTATTTCATGCCATACTATGTGTAAGGGATGTGAGATTTCATCAATTGAGGCGAATCTTTGTGCTTAAATTTATGGCTGCTGAGTTAAGTCCATTTCATCTCTTTTCTATTTCTTTTGTTAGGGAATTCTGCATGTAAAAATGGGTTGTTTGATACTCATATGTGATATATTTGTTCATTTTATGAGGATTTATATTACTTAACTTTATTCATGTTTCTTGTTTCATGTTTTTTTGCTAAATTACGCATCTTGCATAGCATAAAATATTGGATTTATTGTTGAATTCCCATTGGCCTATTTCCAATAAATATATTGGTAAAAGCTTCAATCAATCAATGCGTAGAATCAAAATCACAAACAATACTTGGTGGAGAAAACCGTGATCTAATTCTCGACCATGCAACTTCGTCACTTTTTGTTCTTCCTCCCCCATATCATGGAATATCATGCTAGTGAAGATGGTGGATACAAGAGGTGGGGGTTGTGGTGGAAAATGGTGGCGGCAATCCAATGACAGATGGTGGTGGTTGTCAGGTAGAGTGAAGATGAGGATGTGATAGAAGGGTGGGAGGGGCCGCGCGCGGGGGGGGGGGGGGGGGGGGAATTATTTCTAAATTTTTAAAATAATAAAGTCTATATATATATATATATATATATATATATATATATATATATATATATATATATATATATATATATATATGGCTAGGTTATAATGTGGATGGTAAGTATTGTGTGGATGTAAGAATGAATATGGACCAAGAGTTTATAATACATATTCTAATGGAATATATATTCTGATTGAATGGACATTTTGAATTATAACAAAACTTTGAACCATGAGTTGAACAATAACAACATTCCTAAAGAACAATCATCAATTATTAATATTATTGAATAATCGAAGGTCCCAAAAAAAACAATATTTACTGTCATATTATATAAAAAAATACAATGTTATTTTTTGAAATTTTCCACATTCTACTAGAATACAAGCTTTATAGTGAGTCATTCTTGAAAAAATTCTCCATTCTATAAGAATACAACATCATTCATGAAAGAATCTTCATTTTCATTCTTGTTTCATGATGTTATATTTTGACAATTTGGTGTAGTGAATCTCATTTGTCATGAAATTGTCTCTTAATTTTCATCCACCATTGTTGTTCCAAACAACTCTGCTACATTCTGAGTGGTCCTAAAATAAAACACATACAAATAATGAAGTTTAAGAATATAAATACATACAACTTGTGGCCTCATGGACCAATTGTCCATTTATACAAATACTTTGCATATTGAAAATTAGAAGAGTTTAGCAGTTTGCTTGTTTAGGTGATTTAGTTATATGATTTTGTAATTGAATCATCCATGAAAACACAACAAAAAGAGAACAAATATTGTAAAATTATCTATACTAAACCTAAACCCAATATGATTTTGTTATTGCATCTCTATTGTAAAATTAAGAATAAGTAAAATTAAGAACATTGTAAAATTATCTATAGTAAACCTAAACCCAATATAAATTATATTCAATAGTTAGATTGACAAAAATCACAAGACTGTGATGTTCTTAAAAATTACTTGAGAAAGCCTCAAAATTGTAACATATGATGAATATGAACTAGCCATTTGACAAACCAATTAAAGTCTCGATTCTTTAAAACCCTAAAACCGAAAGATAACAATGAATTTTATACAGATCGGAGGTTGATGGTGTTCTTGTTTTCAAGATGGTGGTACTTGGAAGCAAATAGTCTGACACAAATAGTAAAGAATAACAAGCATTTGAGAAGATTAATTTATGATTTTAAAAAAATAACAAGCACTTTCAATTTGATTGAATATTAAACCTAAATAGATTTATAGAAACCTTGTTACCATGATGATTGTTACCAGGATGAGTAGAATTTAGCTCTTCGCCGTATATGAAGGATGATATGGTGGGGAAACAGCCTTTTCCTTCAACTCTCCAAGTTCTGAGAAGATACGATGGAGGTTTGATTGTTGGATGCACCACCCTTTGACTCTTCCCCGCTCTGTGGTCCATCTTCCACATTCAACAATCATTCTCCACAAACAAACATCGTTACCGGTCAGTTCTTCTATGGAACAAAGAGGCTGCATCAGTTTCCAACTGATGACAAGAGATAAGAGAAAAGATGGTGGTGGCGTGAGGTCGTCTGGGGCCAAACATCGATGGATGCAGGAGGGATACGATTTTGTGGGTGTCGATGGAAGAGACAATAAGGTTTTAAATAAAGTAATTTGTCTAAATTAAAGGGTAAATAATTTAATTAATTATTTATTAAAATTAAATAATACTTGGTCCATATTAATCCCCACATCCACACAATATTTGTTCATCCAAATTTGAACCTACCTCTCTCTCTCTCTCTCTCTCTCTCTCTCTCTATATATATATATATATTCAAAAAATGGTCTATTGCATAGAGAAGACTATTTTGCCCTCATCTAAATGAACTTAAGAGTAAAAAGCTAATAGAGTTAGCGTTAAGAACCATCCATTAAAAATTTTGAAACCATGTGGGCCGATGTTGATAACCTTAAAAGTTAAGGCCTGAACTTTAATTTTTTGGAAAACACAGTAATCATTTTTAAGATTTGTCTATAATTAATATAAATATTAAGAAAATAAGATATATATTAATAATAAAATTAAATGTTATAAATAAAATATATTTAATTTTTATTGAGAACCTAAGTGATTAGACTTAGTTATTATGTGTAATCTTTCACGAAAACAATATATTAAAAATCCAAAGGGTTATTTTTATCGCCACCCAATCTTTAATTATTTTTTGGCCATTAAACCAAATTCCAAAGAGGGGGAGATAGGAGTAGGAGTTCTCTCCTGGCGTCAGCCAGTCTCCTTCCCCCATCCAGCCAATGGTTCTGCAGGCTATACTGCAGTACTTAAACTCCCAGATCGCCTTTTTTTCCTTTTTTTTCTTTTAACTAAAAGGATAGATTGCATTTTCTTCACATCATGCCAGCCATTACATTTACAGTTGTTATGCTCAGTAGCAGACATTTCAAAAAAAAAAAATTTGGCTTACGATTTCAACCACAGTAAATGGAGGTTAGATTTCAATTTTTAAAGCTAAGGCTATTAAGTCACGAAGTTGATGAAATTCACGGATTCAATGATTTAACGGTTTCTGGGGTTTTGGAAGGGATTGTATATGGACGGCCTTCTTGTTGTTATGGATGATTCGTGTGGAGTTTACTAAGTGGTTGGGAGAAAACATAATTTAATTAAGTGATAGTGGAATTTTCGTATTAGTCAATAATCTTTCCTCTGTATTTACAACAGGCAACTAGGCCTTTCTCTTTCCCAATGATTCTGTTGACTTTTTTCTCCCTCCTTGGCTCTTCATCTATTTGGCCACTCCTTGAGAGTGCCCCACCCGTGCTGATTATTACAAAGTAATTTCCTCTTTATGATGACAGATTGTCCTTTATATCTGATCCCAACTCCTATTTCACAAATTCTTTAGTACATACAGACCTTGATAATGTCCACTGAAGCGGCCGAGGGTGATAAGTTGCTCTTATTACCTTCAGCACAACCATGTCGCCACTTTTCTCTTGCAGAGATTCAATCCGCAACCAAAGACTTCGATGATAAACTGATCATTGGACAAGGAGGTTTCGGAAAGGTCTACAAAGGCCGTATTTATATTGAAGAAACTAGTAAAACAGTAGCCATCAAACGGTTGAATTCTTTGTCTAACCAGGGGGCAATTGAGTTTAGGGCTGAAATTCACATGCTTTCTAATTTGCGCCACTGTCATTTGGTGTCTTTGATTGGTTATTGTGATGATAGTTGGGAGATGATCCTCATTTATGACTATATGGGCCGTGGAACCTTATACGATCATCTACACAAAACTGAGTCTTCATTAAATTGGGAGCAACGACTGAAGATAGCCATTGGTGCTGGACGTGGATTGGACTACCTTCACACTGGTGTTGGCACCCAACACGGAGTTATACATCGTGATGTGAAGAGTTCAAACATTCTTTTGGATGATAAGTGGGCAGCTATGATTTCAGATTTTGGGTTGTCCAAAATCGGGCCAACGAATCAATCATTTTCTTTTGTTGATGCAAGTGTTAAAGGCACATTCGGATATCTGGATCCAGAGTATTTCTATACCAGAAAACTGACAAGGAAAACAGATGTGTATGCATTTGGGGTTGTATTATTCGAATTGCTCTCAGGGAGACTTGCTGTGGATGAACGCAAGGGTGAGCAGCACTGTAGTTTGGTAAGGTGGGCTAAAAAATGTGTGAAAGATCGGAAATTAAATCAAATGGTTGATTCTAAAATCAGGGGAACGATTTTTCCCAAGTGTTTAAGAGGGTTTGCACAAATTGCATATCGTTGTTTGTGTAGTGTTCTTAAAAATCGTCCTACCATGGCTGAGATTGTGGGATCACTTCAAGCTATACTGGAAATACAAAAGAGACATGACAATCCTGTTGAGCCATCAGGCATAACTGGATTTACTTTGAAGATTCATAAGTATATTGTTTCTGCAACCAGAAAAAATGATGGTATAGTGAAACCCTTCATTAGTGTTATTTGTGCATTTTTTTATTCATAGATGTTATAGCAGACATAACTATTTAGCACTCTCTTGTAGATGAAATATTACATCACAGAATACTCTTAAAGATCATCACTAGCCCAATAAAACAAATATTATTTAGAAGACTTTAGCTTGTTCTAGAATGCTCTAGAAGATTCTAGAACATTATGGAAGACTATGGAAGACTCTGGAATATACCGGAAGAGTCTAGAATACTCTAGAACGACATGGAAGACCCTGGAAGGATATGGATCATTCTAGAAGACACTGGAGCAACCTAGACCTCTCCAGAACATGGTAGAACGTTCTAGAAACATATGGAAGCATGTAGAGTATGTTAGATAGTTCTAGAGTTATCTAGTATGTAGTAAGTGTATGCTAGTATCTAGAACCTTCCTAAGAGGCCTATAAATAGGTATGGAGCTCATTTGCTCCAAACCATCCAAGAAAGCCTCAAAGAAAGCAAAGTGTGTAGTAGTCTCACAAAGTGTAAGTTCTCCTTAAGTGTCTTAATAAAAGTCTTGTTGTTTCCCATATAAAAGAGTCGTGTTCAACAATCTGGTATCAGAGCAAGGTTTCTTGATAGTGAGAACGAGTGATTCTCGTTGTATCGTGAGTAGTTTGTGACTCTGCAAGTTTAGTGTCGAAACTAGCTTGTTTGGTATTACCGAGGTACTGCCAACACGATGGGTGATCTCCAAGTCGTCGGAGGAATCAAGAAACTCAACAACAACAACTACAAAACGTGGGAAACATGTATGAAGTCCTACTTACAAGGACAAGATCTATGGGAGGTCGTTGGTGGAAGCGAAACTACGCCACCAGAGGAAGACGTTAATGGTGCTTTGCGCAAATGGAAAATCAAAGCAGGCAAAGCAATGTTTGCCTTGAAGACCACAATCGAAGAAGAGATGTTGGAGCATATTCGGGATGAGAACACCCCGAAAGAAGCTTGGGACACGTTTGTGATGCTTTTTCAAAGAAGAATGATACGAGACTACAACTTTTGGAGAACGAGCTATTATCAATCTCACAACGTGACATGACGATTGCTCAATATTTCCACAAGGTCAAGTCGATATGTCGGGAGATTACTGAACTAGATCCGCAATCCGTCATTGCAGAAGCTCGAATGAAAGGATCATTATCCATGGACTCAGGCCAGAATATAGAAGCTTCATTACTGCTGTACAAGGATGGCCCGTTCAACCATCACTTGTAGAGTTTGAGAATTTGCTGGCCAGCCAAGAAGCTATGGCTAAGCAAATGGGAGGCATCACGCTGAAGAGTGAAGAAGAAGCACTCTACACAAGTAAAAGTCGGAGGAATTTCAAGCCACCTTCTAAAGAAGGATACAAAAATGCTGACAAAGGGAAGAGTCAACCAGGAACCTCACAACCATGGAGATCTCAAAAGACCGACAATAAGAGTTCTCGGGGGAGGAGGTTCGAAGGCAACTGCAACAACTGTGGAAAGTGGGGCCACATGTCCAAGGATTGTTGGTCAAAGAAAAAGTCTGTGGAAAGCAATGTTGTAACTTCCAAAAAGGAAATAGAGGATGAATGGGATG